AAAGAAGCTAAATACACATTCTTTTCAAATGCACATGGAACAGTTTCAAAAATAGACCACATGATAGGACACAAAATGAGCCTCAACAAATTCAAGGAAATTGAAATCATGCCAAGCATTTTCTCTGACCACAAGGGACTGAAATTGGAAACCAACCCCAAAGGAAAAAACCCAAAGTACCCAAAATCATGGATACTGAATGGTATGCTATTAAACAACAAATGGGTCAAGAATGAAATTAGGGAAGAAATCAAAAAGTTTTTGGAAACAAATGAAAACAAACTCACAACAACCCAAAACATATGGGACACAGCGAGGGCAGTCCTGAGAGGGAAGTTTATAGCAATACAGGCCTACCTAAAGAAGATAGAAACATTTCAAACAAACAACCTAACCCTATGCCTGCAAGAACTCAAGGAACAACAACAAAGACAGCCCAGAGCAAGCAGAAAGAAGGAAATAACCAAGATTAGAGCAGAACTAAATGATGTAGAGACTAAAAGCACAATCCTAAGGATCAATGAATCCAGGAGTTGGTTCTTTGAAAAGATAAACAAAATAGACAAGCCTTTAAGTAGGCTCATCAAGAAAAGAAGAGAGAGGACTCAAATAAGCACAATCAGAAATGAAAGAGGAGAAATTAAAACTGATACCACAGAAATAGAAGGGATTGTAAGAAATTACTATGAAGAACTGTATGCCAAGAAATTTGAAAACCTAGGGGAAATGGACACATTTCTAGAAAAATACAATCTTCTAAAACTTAATAAAAAAGAAACAGAAAATCTAAACACACCAATAACAGCAAAAGAAATTGAAGCAGTAATCAAAAAACTCCCATCACACAAAAGCCCTGGACCAGATGGTTTCACAGAAGAATTCTACAAAGTATTTAAGGAAGAGCTAACCCCTATTCTTCACAGTCTATTCCAAAAAATCCAAAAGGATGGAAAACTCCCAAACTCCTTTTATGAAGCCAGCATCATCCTAATTCCAAAAACAGATAGAGATACAACAAAGAAAGAGAACTTCAGGCCAATATCACTGATGAACATAGACGCTAAAATCCTCAACAAAATATTGGCAAATCGTATCCAACAATATATCAAAAAGATCATACACCATGACCAAGTGGGATTCATCCCAGGGATGCAAGGATGGTTCAACATTCGCAAATCAGTAAATGTAACACATCACATAAACAAAAGCAAAGACAAAAACCACATGATCATATCAATAGACGCGGAAAAAGCTTTTGATAAGGTACAACACCCATTTATGATAAAAACACTCAGCAAAGTGGGAATAGAGGGAGCATTCCTCAATATAATAAAGGCCATATATGAGAGACCTACCACCAACATCATATTCAATGGGCAAAAACTAAAAGCTTTTCCACTAAGATCAGGAACAAGACAAGGATGTCCACTTTCATCACTTCTATTCAATATAGTATTGGAAGTTTTAGCGATCAGGCAAGAAAAGAAAATAAAAAGCATCCTAATAGGAAAGGAGGAAACAAAACTGTCACTGTTTGCAGATGACATGATAGTGTACATGGAAAATCCTATAGACTCTACCCAAAAACTGCTCGAACTAATTAATGAATTTGGCAAAACAGCGGTTACAAAGTCAATATCCAGAAATCAAAGACATTTTTGTTTACCAACAGTGAATCAGCAGAAGCAGAAATCAAGGAAAAAATCCCATTCAGTATAGCAAAAACAAAAATAAAATATCTGGGAATAAACCTAACCAAGGAGGTAAAAGACCTGTATGCAGAAAACTACACAGCCCTGAAGAAAGAAATCAGGGAAGACACAAACAAATGGAAACATATACCTTGTTCATGGACTGGAAGAATTAACATCATCAAAATGTCCACACTACCCAAAGCAATATACAGATTCAATGCAGTACCTATTAAAGTACCAATGGCATAGTTCATAGACATAGAACAAACACTTCAAAAATTTATATAGAACCATAAATGACCCTGAATAGCAACCGCAATTCTGAGAAAGAAGAACAAAGTAGGGGGGATCACAATACCTGACATCAAACTGTATTACAAGGCCACTGTAATCAAAACAGCCTGGTACTGGCATAAAAACAGGCACATAGACCAATGGAACAGAACAGAGAGCCTAGAAATCAACCCAACTCTCTACAGTCAATTAATATTCGACAAAGGGGGCAGTGACATAAAATGGAGTAAAGATAGCTTCTTCAACAAATGGTGTTGGGAGAACTGGACAGCTACGTGCAAAAAAATGAAACTTGAGCACAAACTTACACCATACACCAAAATAAATTCAAGGTGGATAAAAGACTTAAATATAAGCCGTGACACCATTAAAATCCTAGAGGAGAACATCGGCAAGATAATCTCAGATATTTCACACAGCAACTTTTTTACTGATATGTCCCCTAGAGCAAGGAATATAAAGGAAAGAATAAACAAATGGGATCTCATCAAAATAAAAAGCTTCTGCGTGGCTTAAAAAAACAGTATTAAATTAGCAAGACAACCAACTGTATGGGAGAACATATTTGCCAATGATACCTCAGACCAAGGTTTAATCCCCAAAATATACAAAGAACTTAACAACTCCGCTCTAAGAAGACATCTAACCCAATCAAAAAATGGGCAAAGGACTTGAACAGACACTTCTGCAAGGAGGACACACAGAGGATCCAGAGACACATGAAGAGATGCTCAATATCGTTAGCTATCAGAGAGATGAAAATTCAAACCACAATGAGATACCACTTTACACCAGTCAGGATGGCTGTCATAAACAGAGCAACAAACAACAAATGTTGGAGAGGTTGTGGGGAGAAAGGGTCCTTAGTTCACTGTTGGTGGGATTGCAGACTGGTACAACCATTATGGAAAATAGTATGGAATTTTCTCAGAAAAATAAAAATCAACCTGCCTTTTGACCCAGCAATTCCACTGCTAGGATTATATTCTAAGAATCCTAAAACATCAATTTCAAAGAACCTATGCACCACAATGTTCATAGCAGCACAATTTACAATAGCCAAGAGTTGGAAGCAACCTAGGTGCCCGTCAGTAAATGAATGGATCAAAAAATTGTGGTACATATACACAATGGAATTCTAAGAAGCAGAAAGAAAGAAGGAGCTACTACCCTTTGCAACAGCCTGGATGGAACTGGAAAGCATTATGCTGAGTGAAATAGGCCAGGTGTTGAAAGACAAATACCATATGATCTCACCTTTAACAGGAAGCTAAACAACAAAACAAACAAGGAAGCAGAATAAAAACAAAGACACTGAAATAGAAAACAAGGGGGCAGTGACCAGAGGGGAGAGGGAAGGGAATTTAAGGGGAAAAAGGGAGAGGGATTTGGAGGAACAAATAGGAAGGACACAGGGATGAGAACTAAGGGGGGTGGAAATGGGAGGGAGGTGGGGAGCACGGGTTGGGGGGGGCTGGGATGGGAGAAATAGACAAAAAACTGTACTTGAAAAATAACTAAATAAAATTATTTTTAAAAATAAAAGTAACAATGAGGAAAAGAAAAAAAGGTGGATTTTATTCAATGAATTTAAATTTTGTCTGTAACTTTACAAGTGGATCATTTTGGGCGCTGAGTAAAGAGTTATAAATACAAAAAAAAGAAGTGAATATATATATTATACATTGTATATAATATATATGTAATATATATTTTATTTAATAATACATATTTAATAATATGTAATATTGTTAGGTTTCAACGTTAAGTTTAGCTTACATGTTTTATATCTGATACATGGTTTTAAATATGTATTAATTTAGGAATGTGGCTTTTTTTCAGCTCAGATTTTATGAAACCATTTTTTAAACCTTCATCATAATCTTTGACTTTGGTTTCTTTGTCACACAAGAAATATTTTTGAGTCACAAATTTTCCAGAAAAAAATTAACCTTAATTCTGTTAGAATGATTCAGGATATAGCACTCTTTGGATCCAAATTTTATCCCAAGTCACAAATACACATTTACATACATTTAGGAAAGTGTTTGTTCTCATTTGCTTATATAGTTATATTTGTGACCTCCTTGATTTAACCACTGACTGCATTGCGCACTTTAAGCCTTCTTCAGAAGGCTTGTTTATCACACCAACATGGGGCACCTATGAAGTCCTCCCTGAGAAAAAGCTTAAATATGTAATTTTTGTTTCTTTTTTAAAAAATGATTCAGATGTTCTATATAAACATATTAAAACTGCCATTGATCAGCGTCATTTTAAGCTAACACATCTTCCCTAAATAGTGCTTTCTGTTTCAAAATAAATATTATAAGCCTATGTAAATATAAGACAAATCCCTCTTCTCTGAAGGGGGTGAAGACTGAGAATAGGGATCTTTATGCCTCTGTTATCTTAGACTTTTGGAAATGCCACCTGCAAAGCCATGTATAATTTATATGAGTTTAAGTTCCAAGAGCTGAAACATGCATTCAGAATTAATGTGTGCACTGGGAAATAGTGGCATTGCCTCCAGTGTAGTGACTGGTTCTTTCCTTATGGGCACTTTGGTGCCTGAGAGCCATGCCCGTGAAGCACTGGGCACTGTGGGGTGGAGGAGGGAGGGGCACCGGGATGCCGGCGGGTCCTTGCCTTTAGTGGGAGCCCAGACAGTGCTGCTTCCTGACCAGCTGTGGTGTAGGCATCACTCTGAGGCCTGTGCTGCCGTCATCGCTGCCTGCTGAGGTGCTGGTCTGACCTGGGTGGACAAGACAGATTTGCTTTGCACAAAACCTCCACGCTGAGGACAGAGTCAGGAATGCAGAGGCCGGTCTTTTCTGGACTGGAAGTCAGTGTTCCCACAGCCAGATGTTTCTTTTGGAAACACAGTCACCAGGAGCTGAAAACAAGCCGAGGGGCACTGATGGCAGTGAGATATGAAGGACATCATTCTAGAAGGTGCTGTCAGAACACCTTTGAAATGTTATGCTCAGAATTGCTCCTTTCTTTACAAAGGTACGAGCGACTGGAAGACCAGCTCCATGACCTGACGGACCTGCATCAGCATGAGATGGCCGACCTGAAGCAGGAGCTGGCCAGCATCGAGGAGAAGGTGGCCTACCAGGCCTATGAGCGCTCGCAGGACATCCAGGTGCCTGTCCTCTGTCAGTAGGTGCTCTGCAGGCCCTGCGCAGCCGCTAATTCATCTCACAAATCAAGTACATTACCCCTGAGTTCTAAAGGATTTCTGGCTCATGGAGCAAACATTTCTTCACCTTATTTACCCCATTAGCTCATGCTACAGACATTACTGAGTAACAAAGCTATATTCTGTTTACTTTCTGCCTAAAGTAGTTAACATTTATTATCTGCCTCCAAGCTCCTCATCTATACCCTACTCTCTTCACACAACCAAATGTTTTTAAATTTTAATGCACAAAACAAATACTGTTCTTATAATTGGAAGTTTATATCTTTTCACCACCTTCACCCATTTGCTCCCACTCCCCACCCCTGGCAACTACCAGTCTGTCCCCTGTTTCTATGAGTTCATGTTTTTTAGATTCAACATGTGAGATCATATAGTATTTATCTTTCTCTGACTTATTTCACTTAGCTTAATACCTTCTAGAACAATGTATGTTGTTCCAAATGATGGTATTTCCTTCTTACTCATGGCTGTATAGTATTCCATTGTAGAGAGAATACCACATTTTCTTTATTCACTCATCAGTAGGCACTCAGTTTGTTTCCATGTCTTGGCTATTGTAAATCCTGCTGCAGTGACCATGGGGGTGCAGATACCTCTCTAGATACTGATTTTATTTCCTTTGGGTATATACCTAAAAATGGGACTGCTGGACCATTACGATAGCACTATTCTTATTTAGGGGATAGTTTGGGTTAGTACTGTTCTGCCTTTTTTAAAGAAACATACTTGAGGAATGAATGGGTAAGATGAAGGGAGGGACTTTGGAAGTCATTTCAGTGTGTTCCAGTTCCATCTCTAGTGCAAAAGGATGTCTCTGTGAGTAACTGGAGGGTCTTTCTTGTTATGATCGATAGAATCCTGGCCCTCGTACTTTCTGTGTGACACAGGACAGGTCAGCTCTCTGTGCCTCAGTTTCTTCATTTATAAAATGGAAATAGTAATGAGCTCTATTTCCTGAGGTTGTCCAGAAGATAAATGGGATAATAACCTAAAGTACTTAAATCTTTGCCTGACACATAAGCAGTTAGGAAATAAACACTGACCATTCTTTTTGTTATGTTGGTGAGTACATATGTCCCTGGGCTTTTAGCTTGACTTTGTCCTTTTTTCTGGTTTCTTTTGTTCTCAGAGGCAGGGTGGTTCACGGGAATGGACTAATATAGGTGGGGCAGCTACAGCCTATGGAGATACAAGGGTTTGTGGTTATTTCAAGCAAATGAGTATTGGGCTTGTTTGTTTTTTAATCCTGAATTCCCAATTAAAAGAGTGTAAAAGGTAATCCTTTCCTCTGTCTTTATCCCCAATAAGTTAAAGACTGGGCTCGAGGAAGCACTAAAGGTTATGGGGCTGAGTGTCTCCTAATGGGTGCTGTGGCTAAAGTTCCTTACAACACATTGCTTGTTTTGGGGGGGATTTTTCTTTTAGTAACAAAAATTTGGTAGCAGTTCTAAGGCAATTCTATTAATATATGTAATTCATCTAGCCAATTAAATGTAAATTAATTTGCCTAAAATGTTGATCTTTTGTCTTGTTCTATCACCTTTTCCATGCCTTGTCCGAAATGAAGGACACCCTGGGCCCAGGCGTTTGAAGCGAATACATGATTTCCGGGGCACTTGCCCGTTGTTTTGGAGAGTCAGCATTTTTTAGAATGTGAAGATGGAAAGATGTTTTACCCTTTCTGTCGGTGGCCTGCATAATGAAAGTTATATAGTAACAGCAAACCCCGTTCTTTGGCCCATAGACTATATTCAGCAGAAGAAAAGCAAATCATGTTACAGACATTCTGCTGTTTCAGCCCTAAAAAGATGACTGTGTTTCAACTGAGGAAACACATGTCGGTGAATGAATTAGGCAGTAGGCTAGCAAACTGGAAGGGGCTCACTGTACTGCCTCTACTTAGGTCCCTTCCTCTCAAGACACTACAGGTTTTTCTCTTTCAAGCTTCATATCCCATGACCCCATCTCCTGAGTGTTCAGCTGGTACACAGCACCTGCTGCCTGCTCCTCGTGCCTCCTCGCACGGTGCCGTGGGCCTGTGCTCTGCCTCATGCAGCCGTGGCCTCTTGGCTGGGGAAGAGGGCAAAAGGGAGGCTTGGCATAGTCTGACAGGTCCAGAAGGCTCCCCACAGGATGTGACAGTTGGCAGGAGACCTGAAAGATGACTGAGAGCCACCAGTGAGGAGTGGCAGGAGTGGGGGGGCAGACATTTCAGACACAGGGCACTGCATGTGCACAGGCCCTGGGCATGCTCCTTGTCAGAACCTGATAAAGCCAGTATGGCCAGAACACAGTGAGGGGCAGGGGACTGGCATGAAGTGAGGCTGGAGGGAGTGGCTGGGCCTGAGCCATGTTAAAGATTTTATAGGTTTTACAAAAAGGAATGACATCATATATGCCTCTCTAAAGGTCACTTGGGCCTCTGTATGGAAAGTGGATTCATGGGGTTGAGAATCAGGAGGGTGTATGGAAGAATCTGTGTGGCTCGCAGGCAAGAGATCCTGGTGGCTTAGACTGGGGCCGTGAGCGTGGGAGGGGAGAGAAGCGAGCCGGCGGAGATAGACATTGGATGTTGTAGCAGCAGGGCTGGGTGGTGCTGTTGATGAGTGCTCTCAGGCTCCTGGTTTGAGGAACTGGGCGGATCAGGGCTGGGTCTGAGAAAAGGAACACAGGAAGGGAAACGGGGTTTGTGGCAGGTGCAGGAGAAGGTGCAATACCTGAATCCACATTTGGACATGTTGCACTGAGGTGCTTTTAAGAATCTCAAATGAAGACGTTAAGGAGTCTTGTAGATACATGAGTTGATCTCAGGAGAGACAGCTGGACTAGAGGTTCACATCTTTCCAAGCCTCTGTGTCTTAGTCACTGAAGGCTTGGAAAGATGGAGATCTAGTGAGAACGCACAGCTTCAGATAGTGTCTCAAGGAACACAGCATTCCAGGAGCAGGCGGAAGCAGAGTCGCCCCACAGTCCACCCTGCCTGCCCTTCTCCCTCCGTGCTCCGCTGGTCTGTAATGGCGCACACAGACTCCGAGCAGTGAAAGAAGGACGAGCACTTGGAGAGAGCCCCTACTCCATGGTGGAGGTAGACAACTGTCCCCACCTCTCCTCTGCTTTGTCCCTCATGGTACCAACAGATGCCCATATTTTAGGCACTTATTTCTCATATGGGTGGAGTCAAAATACCTAATTTCTCATTTATGCTTTTTATGGTTGTATATACATGCTCATTCTACCCATGAATAACGGGATAAAATGAGCTTTGGGACTCTTGTTTTATTTCTTTGCTGTCATTGTCGTCGCTGTCATCGTCATCGCTGTCACCATTGCTAGCGGGGTTACGTGAAGCTGCCTCAGCACCGAGCGTTCTCAGCTGGAGGCTCGTATGCACTTCTGGGCAGGCCCTCACATGTTGCCCATGACCTCACAGCATTTGATCCTTGCTCTCGCTTTTGCCCACAGGAAGCCTTGGAATCCTGCCAGACTCGCATTTCGAAGCTGGAGCTGCACCAACAGGAGCAGCAAGCTCTGCAGACGGACACAGTGAACGCCAAAGTTCTCCTGGGGAAGTGCATCAACGTGGTCCTGGCCTTCATGACTGTCATCTTGGTGTGCGTGTCTACCATCGCAAAGTTTGTCTCACCCATGATGAAGAGCCGCTTCCACATTCTTGGCACCTTCTTTGCTGTGACTCTTCTTGCAATATTTTGTAAAAACTGGGACCATATTCTGTGTGCCATAGAAAGGATAATAATACCCAGGTGAAGCCACTGGTTCCTATCTTGAAGTTTGTAAAGAGAACTCTGAATTTTACCAAATTTTAAAATGAACAGTCGTGCCAACTGAAGATTGCCGGAAGGCCTGGGCTGTGTTGTAAATAACTACAATTCTCTTTAACACGGTAGCAGTCACCAGCTCAGTCCTCAGTCCCTGTGCTGGTTAACGTGCGTCTGGTTCAGAAGCTCACCCACACTGCTCACTGCCTTAATCGGACCAGATTCCCCACCTGCCTGACTCTCCCAGTGTGGTAGACCTCTGATTGTTGAGCACTTGGCATAATTAGCAGCTCAGAAGAAAAGGGAAGTTCAGTCTCTCTCTCAAGTCTCTATCATCAAAATTGAGCTCACCATTGTTAGTGGCCATGCTTTCCCCAGGTCCCGTAAGCAGCACGGGTGCAGCACAAATCAGAGAAGGAAAGAGGCCCAGGCACTGACTGTGTCGAACACTCAGGGCTGATGGAAGTGCAGGACACCCCCGTGTGATCCACCCTGATGGTCTGCTGTTGGCCGTAGGTCCTGCATGTGCCCAGTGTCCACAGTGGTCATTTACGTGTGATTCTCTGTGACATGGAAATCTTATTTTATACCATGTATTCACCCAAAGTCTAACTTAGTTGCTCTGTTGCACTTTAAATGGTAAGCCACGAGGGTGTGTGAATGAGGCTTCTGCCTTCTCATGTCCTCGGAGCCACGCCCCTGATGGCATCCTAACCGGCTGCCAAATGCCCAGCCTCCAAAGCACAGAAATGCTTCCAGTCCCTCATCAGACTGCAGCTGTAACATGGGGGTCCTCTGAGCACTGCTCTGGAGGTTTGTGACTCCACACATTTGGTTTTGATAATCCCCCATGGGGGTGTGGTTCACTTTATTTGCAGGTCTGTGAGGGGTTGGGAATCTCCCTCAGTAAATGAAAACATATGATGCTCGTGTTGTGGGGTTTTTTATTAAGAAGGAAAACTGCGTCATAGTTTCTAAAGTTGAAGTGCACTAAGGTAGGAACACTGGAAGCAGGAGGAAGTATGACATGTCTGACTGGATGGCAGCTAGATGGGTGGGAGCCGTTCACCTGGATGAAGACTGAGAGGGTCCGCTCGGGACCCTGAATAAATTAGATGCCCTGTCTGAGCCAGTGTTGCCATCTGTCTTCTAGGATCTCACTGAAAGTAAGTCCTAGGATAACAGTGGCCACATTTCCCACATTCCCAGGAGGGCAGCGTCTTTGGCCTATTTGGGGGACATGTGACACTGCCCATTAAATCTGTCCCTCTGTCCACATGAAAGGAAACTGCTCTCTAGGCCCCCCCCACCTTCATCATCTGAGGCATAAAGATGGGTGTTGGTGTACATTTCTTCCAGAAAATGTCAAGTGATCTGGATTTGAATTAAGTGCAATGTTCTGCAAACAGCTGCTTTTAGGGAAATCTCCTGAAAAAATGTGACGGTGAACCACGATTTCAGAGAGCAGAGTCTTCAGGCACTTGGTGCAAGACTGAGGTGTGAGTCTCACAACACAACCTTTTTGCTTTTTTATGGTTGTAATGCAGTGATTTTAATCAGTTCACAAACTTATACAGCTCTCACTATCACCTAATTCCAGACACGACTTTTTAAGACAATGAACACAGTTTCATGAAATCATTGGCTGTGAAGTATTTCGGATTCAGGAAAGGGGGAGTTACGAGTCTCACCTGCATCTCATGGCTGTCTCCTGTCCCCGGCAGGCTCTCCCTGGGTCTGCCAAGTTCACTGTAAATACACTGTGATCCATCAAATCCAGGGGACAAAGACAGGTTCCAGGTCCAGGGAAGACAGCGAGAGAGCATGGTGCACTTCCTTCTGCATTTATATTTCAATGGCCAGCATCCCTCTCTGCCTGTGGGCATCAGCCTCCGTGGAGGCTGAGGGCTGGGTGTAATGTACATACTTGCATCCAGCTGGGTCCTGGGTGGGCCCCTCTTGATGTCTGTGAACCCTTCTGCAGCACTGTGACATACCAGGGCCTGGGGTGGGTGTAGGTGCTGTTGGTAGTTCAGCAAGAATGGGTGAGAGCTCCAGCCCTGAGCCAAGGGTTCTGGGGCGTCTAGGAAGACACTAGCCTCCTCCCGCCACCACATGCCACTGCATGGCTCAGCCCAGCACATTGGCTGCGACACTTCCCAGACCTGCGGTCAGTGTGTGCTCCCCAGTGAGAGAGGTGAAGGAAGTTGGGGAGCTGCGCACTCCAACCCCTGCAGTCTGGAGCAGCGGGCAAGCTGCAGGGACTGGCTGGTCTGAACCGGCGTAGTGCCTAAATCATTGCACCTCACTGTGAGTTTTGTGTTTCTTTACAGAGTTCCTATTTTTGGTGATTCTCATTAGACAATGGATTAGCTTGGATCTCACTTGGATATGCTTAACCTACACAGCATATTTATTTTAGAGTTTTGTTGAAAGTTCATGAAGCTTTCCAATAGATGGTACACCCGCAGGGTGCATTTACTCTGCAGTTTATTATTCTCTTCTTGAGGAATCAACCCTCCCACTGCCTGTGTTCTGCACTGCAGAGGGAAAATAAATAAAATGTTACTTAAGTATACAATTAAAATAGTGCTCAAGCTATGCCATGTCCTGGAACTGGATATTTAATTTACATTGAAGCCAACCAGTCCCTTTTCCCCACCTTGCATTGGCAGTAAAGGCCTTCTGCCTTCCTCCTGAAGCCAGGTGTGGGATGGCTGAGCACCTGCCCATCCATGAACTCACTGAGTCATTTCAGATACCAGACATGGCATTCTAGCCCTGGGATGTTTGGTGACATTATTTTAATGATTGCCAGGATAATGATAGTTTGCTGAGGAGAAAACAAAAACCCTTATGGGTTTTGAATTGGCTATTCCAGCTTATATTTTGAGTATGATTAAGCCAGAGCAGAACACTATCCCCCCCAAAATAAACAAATTTAAAGCCACAACAAAGAGGCAGTCAATAAAAGTTCTGCATTGCTGATCTGGGACAGTGAACGTTTCTTGCCCGGGCCACTTCACTTACGTGCTCGCTGTGGTCCCCTGGCCCTGATATCGGAACCCCCTCCTCACTTCCTGCTGTTGTCCCTCTCGGCCACTTAGCATCCCTGTGTGTTTAGCCCCTCTCCTGCTTTGTCGTTCTTGTTTTCACTGAAATACTGCCCCGTGGAGTATGCGCATCGCCCTTCCATTCTTCTAGCTTGTGAGGTTTCGGTGACAGTGCTGGGAACTGGCTCCCCTGGGGCAACTAATTACTTTTGTCCTTTCTGTTCGGATTTTAAATACCAAATAATTTTGTATTGAATGGGAACATTTCTTTTGCACTGAAACCAAATATAGTTGTATCGGTTTGGAAAAACATTTAATTATACTTATTAATATGAATGTGAGTAGTTAAATAAACCTATTTTGCATATTTGCATAATTTTGAGGGTCCAGTGGTAGGACAAAGTGGCATTATTTAAAATTCAGGGCTTTATCTGGAGCGAGGTATTTCAAGAAATTTAGCGTATGTGCTAAGGAAAGAGTTGATCTAAAAAAACAACAAGTCACTGAAAACAGTGAGATTGGCCTGTTTACCTCAGAAGTAGTTACAAAGTTCAAGAAAATGGTATAGTTAATAAGTATTTAAAACCCATAAGATATAAAGCAGAATTAACCTATAATTTTCTAAAGTCACTACGATTTCTCTGTTTCTAAGAAGCTGGAAAGTAATGTACCCGCATTGTTTTAAGAATGATTTATGTGTGGCCATTTTAATTTATGTATTTAAAGCATGTCTTGCTGTGTTTGTCCTAAGAGAAATGTTTCAACAAAATGTGCTGTGTGTTAATGTGTAAGCAGTAGATAGTGGCTCTGAAAGTAAAAACTGGGGATGTTTATTGTGTGATCCGTCACATCGTTTCCATTGTGTGGGTAACTATATTCATGTCAGCTTAAAATTGGAAGTTCTCTGCAGATCACCCCATTCAAAGCAGGTGCCATTATTTTTTTTAAATAAACACTTGATGTTAGCTTTGATGGTAAATAAAGAGCTAGATTTCTTAAATTTTCCCATTTGTCATTATCAACAGCAGTTTGTGTGTCATCGATTTTTTAAATAGACTTTATTGCAAGCAAACTTGATGGGAAGGTACAGAGATTCCCCTTGTACCCCGTCCCCACACGTGCACAGCCTCCCTGCTATCAACGACCCGGCCAGAGGGTACCCTTGGTACAGTTAATGAACCTGCACGTACACTTCATTATCTCCCAAAGCCCATAGCTCACATGACGGTTCACTCTTGCACCTTCTCTGACTTAGTATTCACCATTACAGTATCTTACGGAATAGTTTCACCTCTAAAAATCCTCTGTGTTCTGCCTATTTATTCCTCCTTCCCTCATCCCTTATAATCAATTTTTAAGCTAATTCCAAGTCTATTTCATAAAAAGTTGTCGGTGTGTGATAGGCAGCCCATACTCAAGTCCCAGTGGGGAGGGAGTTACTTTCTAATAGGTATGACCACTGAGATGGAGAAGTTTATAGGACACAGAAGGACCATGGTGATACCAAACCGCACCTTTCTGGCCTTTCATAAACGTGGGATGACAGCTAACATTATTTGAGCGTTTACTATATATAATGCTCTGTGCCGGATGCTTCGCATATAATGTCCAATGTAATTATTCCAACACTTAATAAGACAGGCACTGTTGTCCCTGCTTAACACGTGAGAAAGCTGAGGTTAAATAACTCACAGCGTCATGCAGCGGGTATCTGTGGAGCTGTTACTTCAGCCCCAACCTGGTGTGACTCTGGAACCTGCCCTGGGAACCAGGGAAGGATATTAAGCGATCGACTCTAGTCCTTCCGTAGCTCTCAGCTCCTGTGAGGTAGATGACTCTTGGAGCCTCACAAGGGGTCACTTTCAGCCCCAGGACTAGAGCAGTCAGTACCGTTCATTGCACATTGTGTGTTTTTCCCTTCGCACTGCGTACTGGGATAAGGATGGTTACCTGAAGCCAACATCCTAGGTCTTTGAACCTAGGCATAGGCTGACAGATTTGTGGATGAAGAGAATGGAAAGCTGTTAATTAAAGCAACTTCACACCCTCCCTGGCTTCCTGAGTTCAGGGTGTATAAATGGCAGTTGGCTTGGCTGAGTATTTATAAGCTTTTTCACTTAGCTCTGAGATGATGAAGTCCCTGGTGGCTTCTGCTCTGTGCCCTGTGACATCTGCTACCATCTGTGGTGGCTACCTCTGAAATTTCTCTCCTTGCTAAGCCAGCCAGAATTTCTCCCTTGCCAGGCCTTGAACTTGAGTAAAGCAGGTAATAGAAATGAGCGACATCCATGTTAACAGCTGTTTTGTTGGTGGTTACTCTAGTCTAGCCAGGCATTGGGAATTGAATTTATTTTTTCTGTTCTGCTTAAAAATAAGCTACTGAGAATAGTCACAACTTGGAGATACTGTGGATTTGATTCCAGACCATGACGATCAAGCCAGGCATAATCCCTTTGCTGGTGAAGCGTCTTGGCCTGAATTTGTAAAAAAAAAAAAAAAAAAAAACCTCCCTGTCTGCAAAACACAAAGTGGACCTCAGAAAAGCAAGGTGTGCCTGTTGTCAAAAGAAAGCAAAGTAGTGCCTTGGTCTGCACTAAATTGCTAAGGGGCTCCATTTGCCGAAGAACCTCTAGGGCCCTGGATTCCCCTCTGACTCCCGGACTGTTCTCATCACAAGCTGCAGTGGCCACAGAGCCTTCCCCAGGGTGTTTCCTCGCTATTCATCATACTTCCTCTGTGGTGTGCAGCCCACGCCCTCTGTAGCCGCAGGGAACAGAGAACTGGGAGACAGCTCCCCAGCTGAGGCTGCAGCCAGGCCAAACACACCCTCACGCAATGGCTGAAGCCAACAAGGGCTGGCCCAGCCTGAGAGGTGTCTCCCCGCAGACTCCATGGTCAGCCTTCGCAAGGTGACTTTCAGCTACACGTAGGGTTTCCCCTTGTAAGCAAGAAACAGTCCCCTAAGGAAGTCAATTAAAATGTTATATGTAGTTGGAATGGACGTGGCTCATTCAGTTGTTCAGGTTTGTTTCCTCACCGGAAAAGCTGGAAGACTACGAGGAGGCTGCTCTCTTGCTGAGCTAGAGAGTGGGTGCAGTGTGTCATGGGTCCTCTTGGAAACAGGGGTCCCAGCGGGCCAGTGGCAGTGGGTCTTCCAGGATCTGGTTCACAGACCGGGTTCATGGTCTCCCTAAGAGCACTCCACTCCTCTGGGCTCCTAGCCAAGCGCGCGTGTGCGTGCGTGCGTGCGTGTGTGTGTGTGTGTGTGTGTGTGTGTGTGTCGGGGGCGGGCGGGGGGATGTACTTGGCTTCCTCAGGGGACCTGTCCTCCAGGGGACAGACTGCTTGGCAGCTATTTAAATTTGAATGTAAATCAGTACATTTGGTTTTTCTTGTCAAGGATGTTCTTGTCAGAGATGGGTTAGTGTGAACCAGTTTCACAGGAGTGGCCACCTAATAAACTGCTCAGGTAGATCCTGAGTTATTGTAGGATGTGGGAAGGCCACCTTGAATCTGGGGGCCTTTTCCCTCCCCTGCAATCTGATTAACCTAGGGAAATGTTTCACCTCTCAGAATATCTCTTATCTGAACTGTTAGATGCCTGGGGTTGTCAAGTTTAGGTAAAGTGCTTGACACAGGGTCTTCGCATAGTGTGCTTACTGAGCACCTACTGCGTGGCAGTCGCTGTTCCAGACCCAGACACAAAACAATGCTCCTGTTCCGGTGAGGGTTACACCCTAGTGGAAGGAGACAGATAATAACAAAAATACAATATTTGGCAGCAGTAAGGGCCAGGCTCTGAACAATTAAACTAAAATTAAAGCTCCCCTCAGTATTCTCAGTGAGGAGATGACCTTCCTGTATGTTGTTTTCTCCGCACATTTTCACAGCCTGCCTTGTGGGCATGGCTGAGGAGAGCCCTCTAAAGTGGAACTATTTCTGGGTCAGAGAGACTCAGCACAACAGCAGGGGTGCTCAGAAGATCTGGGTGGTTCCCTTCGACGAAGGTGGTTTCCTTTGGAAAGGGGAGGAGGTACTCCTGGTATTCGCCTGCACGACAGGCAAATGAGCACCTGGGTCTGAGTCAGCGGTGAGTAAGCCCCCCCCCACCCCTCAAGGATTTGGGGTTCTGTATGCCTGCCCCTGCCTGCCCCTCCCAGTCCCTGAAGAGCATCTCACAGGCGGCCTCTGACCCTTGGCCCTTACTGGGCCACCCTGTCTCGTCACAGCCTTGAGCCAGGCTAAGTGCCCGTGCGCCTACGCCCAGGCTCCTGGCCCCTGTGCCTTCCTGCTGTGAGGGCCAAGGGGACAAACGCTTCCTTCTGGAGCTCCCTTTCCCAGGAGCTCTCAGGGTCCCCTCCACCAGGGCCTGGGACCCCCCTCTTCGACCCCCTGTCTCCTCTCCAACACCCTGTCCAAGCCCACCTATGCCCACTTTCTCCCTGCACCACCTTTTCTGAGAGCTTGCCGCTCTGTTATTAAGTCCTGTGGCATCCGTGCCTGCTTTTCTGTGGGTTCAGGCGAGCCTACACAACCGTCCACACCGCAGATATCCTAAACCCGCTTGTTTTGATCCTGACTCTCCTCAACTCTCTGCTCCTCTTCCCCTTTACCACCATGTTTCATAAAGGCATAATCTCCACTCCCCTCTCCACTGGGACCTAGTAGCAGCCCCAAAACTCCCACTGGGGTCACCAGTGACACATTGGCTTCTCTGCTGCACAGTCCCTAGTCTGGATCACTGTTCTATGTCGCTTGTCACGGGCGGAGATGCTCACAGCAGACTGAAGCATTTTGCTCCCATTGCGTGTTCCCTGCCACCACGCTTCTGTCTCCTGCGGCCCCTGGTCTTTTTGCACTGTCTCCATCTCATCCCCTTTCTACAGACCTCCCGTGACCCAGCCATCCTCTGTATGACTTGTAGTCACCATCTCTATGCAGTGAGTACCTGCCTCTTTCACCCACAGGCCCATAGTTCCAGTTACTTACTTTTCATCCCTATGTATATTCTCAGGGCACCTCAAAGTGGAAAATTGAGCTCAGCATGTGGTCCTTGCATATGATCTGCTCTTTCTGTGCTACCAATTCTATTGAAGGCACCACTGCCACCCAGTCATCCACACAAACCAGAAACCTCAGCACCACCCCTCTCTTCCTCACCAGCACCAGTAAGTCATGTCAGTTCTACCTTCTAAATCATCCCCAAATTGTCCACTTCACTCTATTTCACCCGCCACTACCATGGTTCAGGACACCATGATTTCTTCCAGGACAGTTGTAAGAGCCTCTCAGGTTTCCCCAGTCTCCAGTTTTTCCTCCTCCCGCTCCATCCTCCCTGTGCCTACTTTGTGATCTTTCTAAAATTCAAGTCAGCTCACCTTGTCCACCCCTCGGGGCTTCCCACTGCCCACAGGGTCAAGTCTGAATTTCTGAGTGAAGCCAGCAAGGTCCTTGATGTTCTGGAGCCAGCCCAGCTCCCTAGCCTTGCCCTACCCCCCTGCACCGAATTCCCCACAGCAGACCCTGAACCAACCATGTGTTAGTGCTCTTCTCTGCCCAAAATCTCATTTCTTCTCCCCCTTACCATTCGTCAAGAGCCTCGTACCTGTTGGCTCTGTGAAGCTTTGTGGAGAGGTACATTGTGCCTCCTTCTCCTCATCAAACTTTCCATTTATTATATCGGAATGGAACCATAGCGTCCTATGTATTTCAAAGGGTTATCATGTTCTCCTCCCCACTCTGTTTTCTGTAAAGGGGGCCTCTGTTATAACACCATTACCCCTGTGATCATCTGTCTCCTCTAGTACACAGCGAGTTCCTTGTGGCCAAAGCCACCTCCTACTCATCCCATTCTCCCTCGGGAACTCTCCTAGTGCTGGGTATATGGGTCATATTCAGTAGATGCAGTGAGCAAAGAAGCCACGTGCCGTGAAGATGACATCTCTGGTGAGGCTGCCTTCCTTCCCCACTGGGGCGTGAGTACCTGCTGGGCTCAGACCATGTCTCTTCATCATCTGCCATTGCTAG